CCTCGGAGGGCTGTCGAGGCGAGCCCGAGGCCCTCCAGGACGGCCAAGGTGGAAGGCCCCGGGCCGGCCCTGGACAGTCGCCGAGGGGACCAGAAGAAGAGCAAGTTGGAGGTGGAGGAGGTCATGCGGGCCGCGGAGAAAGGCGGGGAAGGCAAAAGCCTGACGGCCATCAGAGAAAGAATCATCAAGACCGAGGAGCCCGAGAGACTCCACGAGGACTGCAGACTCGACAGGGAGCCCGCGTCTAATGGGCTGGTCCATGGCGGCAAGGAGGTCATCCTGGCCCAGCCGTCCAGCGCCTTCGGGCCGCACCAGCAAGACCTCAGGATCCCTTTGACTCTCCACACGGTCTCCCCTGGGGCCCAGATCCAGTTTCAGGGACCGCCACCTTCAGAGCTGATACGCTTGACCAAGGTTCCCCTGACACCAGTGCCTATTAAAATGCAGTCCTTGCTGGAGCCTTCTGTAAAAATTGAAACCAAAGATGTCCCGCTCACCGTGCTTCCCTCAGACGCAGGTATTAGACGGCAGGGGAATCTGGTTTTCAGATTTCGTCTATGTTGTCCCATAGCTGACATGTCAGCAGTTCAGAAGCCTAAACTAGAAAAATAAAATCATGGAACTGATTCTTTTCAGGGCAAAGTCTGCACAGGTATCACTTCTGATTGACTTGTACATATGCCAGTAAAATACACTAACACGTTCAAGATTACCCAACATTTTTTTAATTAAGGCCCAATGAAGTTGAGATTTAGATGTGACTAATGTTTACACACAAAAATAGAAATATTTTTGCTAGATGATACAAAGCCCTCGGTTTATAGGTTTATATGCTACAGATAATATTTTAAAATATTATAGTAGATAAATATTTTTGCATGTATCAAGAAGCCGAAGAAAAAATTGTGTTTAATGAAAAAAATGGTTATTATTAAAATAAAATAATTTAGAGGTGATTTTTCTTCTTTAAAAAGGAACAGTAGACATTGTTCTGGAAGAAAACAGTACATGATTAAATGTAACATTTTAGAATTATAAAAGCTAAGGACTTAGAAAAATTTGGAAAATGAAAATACTATAGAATAAGCTAAAAATGTTTTCAAAGAAGTGACTATAGTTATAGTGGTAACAACTACAAGTAGTTATTTAATTCTATCCATTATTTCCAGATATATAGCTAGAAAATTTCTTATTTCAGGTTTCAGACAAAACACTATGCCAATGAATGTCATAAGAAGTTATATTAATCTTCATGTTTCATTAACTTCCATATTTATTGTTTTTGTTACTTTCTTTACTGATTCTTTCTCCTCACTTGAACCTCTTATTTTTAACTTCAGTATTTTTTAAATGTTTTCGTTTTCTAAAGGAAAGGGAAAGCTTTCTTTATAATACTTATTTCATCCTTTGTGCATTAAAAAAATCATTCATATATCAAGTAACCCTAAAGAGAAACAATATAAGAAGTTTATAGATAGTTGTTTTTGATGAATTCTGTAAGAGATATGTAAGAGAGATGAATTTAGATATGACAACTTACGTTATTGTAATATCAACTGGATCTGTGATTCTTAAAAAGTCACTTTTCTTATTTTTCTCTCAGGACATGGGACTAGTGTTGACCCATATTGGTAGGAGTTTCACCTTCATAATGAAATATAACTAATATAATATTATAATATTATAAATATTTTGCTTGAATGGACACTACAACAGCATGTAAATGAGTTCCTTGAAACATTGGGGGAGCACCTACCTAGTGCTAGGATTATAGTCATCAATTAAGCCATAGTTTAACCTTGTCCCCCATTAATAGAATAGTTTTTAATGGAAAGTAAATGGTAATGATTGTTAGAGGTATTGATAAAGCTCAAAGAAGTAATAATCCAGCGGTTTATTGTCTTCAACATTATTCCACAATATCTTAAACAATATTATTATTTTGAGAAATAGAAGAGTCATTCTACAGTTTAGAATGCTGAGTTCAGAGGTAATGAGTTCTGGAACACTGGCAGTTCTTTGGCTATATTCAAATGTATATTTTCTCCAGATAGTGAAAAAATAAAAATGGAGGTGCATTTCACTTTAAAATTGTATGTGTGAGTGTGTGTGAAACACATTAATTTAGTCTCTTAATTTTTGTCATGTAGGAATACCAGATACTCCCTTCAGTAAGGACAGAAATGGCCATGTGAAGCGACCCATGAATGCATTTATGGTTTGGGCAAGGATCCACCGGCCAGCACTAGCCAAAGCTAACCCAGCAGCTAACAATGCAGAAATCAGTGTCCAGCTTGGGTTAGAGTGGAACAAACTTAGTGAAGAACAAAAGAAACCTTATTATGATGAAGCGCAAAAGATTAAAGAAAAGCACAGAGAGGAATTTCCTGGTAATCAAATGAACAAAGCTTCTAATTTCTTTTAAATAAAGTTATTTAGGTAAAGATTTGGTTAGGCTGAGATTGAAAGACAAAATGTGTAATCTTTTTTCTAATCTGATATATACAATAACGAACAATGGCTAATATACTAATGATTGATACTGGGCATAAGTTTCGTTAAACAGAACCAATTAGAGGGCTATCTAGTCTTATTTGCTAACTAATGCAAACCAGGGGACATACAGTTTTATTGTGTTTTTGATTAAATATATAGATATAAACTTCTGAAGATAAAAGCTCCAGAATTCTAGGCTATAGTTTTGTAAACATACCAGAAAAGTTTTAAAATTATAGCAATAGAAAAAAAAAAGGCATGCACGCTTAAAGGCACTAGGCTCTATTTTAATATTATATGATTATCAGAACATAGTCCTGCCTTTTGATTGATAGATTTATCCTCATCATGATGTAATTTGAAATGAATTCTGATTTCTTCCCCAGCAGTGGGGACATTAAGATTAAGCCTGGGCCCTGCCAGCATGGCTCAGTGGTTGAACATCGACCTATGAACCAGGAAGGTCATGGTTCAATTCCTACTCGGGGTACATGCCTGGGTTGTGGGCTCAATCCCCAGTGTGGGGCGTGCAGGAGACAGCCAATCAATGATTCTCATCATTGATGTTTCTCTCTCTCCCTCTCCCTTCCT